CTCTCTAAGCGGTTTACAGAGTCGGCATATTGCCCCCAACAACAATCTGGGTCCTCATTTTACCCGGAAGGATGGAAGGCTGTGTCAACCCTGAGCCGGTGAGATTTGAACAGCCGAACTGCAGAACTGCAGTCAGCTGAAGTAGCCTGCAGTGCTGCATTTAACCACTGTGCCACCTCGGCTCTGCTAAAGTTCATGGATGTTGTGAATCTTTCCCATTAATCCAAAGGTGTTTTTTTTTTTTTTCCCAAGAGGCAACTCGACTTTCTGTGGTTTTTTTTCTTTGAAGACGTTTCGCTTCTCATCCAAGAAGCTTCTTCAGCTTTCCCATTTAAATATCCCAGGAACTCCCAGAACCAGAAGGTCTGAGATCGGTGTCCCTTTTGTCTTTTTTTTTTAGAGAACTTGCTGCAGGACAAGTCAGCAATCCCTCTTCCCATTCTTTCGCCACTGCAGGTACTATTCTGAGATACAAAAAAAGTCAGAAGTTTCCAGTAGCTGCCAATGGCATAAAGCCAGGCTGTATCAGGTCAGAGGCATGCTAATATTTATTTTTGCTATTGTGGGCAGAAGGAGAGCTTTGCAGATTAGGAAAGCCAAGTCACATGTGATGGGAACACTCTAAACATTTGCATTTCCCCAGGTTTTTTTTTTTCATCTCCACTGCCTTTTTTAAAAAAAAACCTGGGCGAGTTTTGAAAAACCAAAACACTAAGATCCATTCCTCATTCTCATTCTGATGCAGTAAAACCCAGAAGGGCATGGGAAACATTCATAAAGAAAGCAGACAGAAGTGAATGTTTACTGGCCTAAATGGAAGCGAGCCCATTTAGGCCAGTAAACAGGTCTTAAAAACTTTATTACAGGTAGTCTTGGACATGATCATAATTGAGCCTGGGAATTAGGGTTGTTAAGTTGTGACAGCCTTAAAGCAGGTCATCACACGGCCGAGCCAATTTTATGACCATTCCTGCAGTGATCATTAAATCATAAAGCTAATGCCAGAATCTTTTAAGCTATGTTATTTGTCATGTGGCGCTTTTCCTGGAAACTGGAAGTAAGTCTCTCTTTTTTGCCAAATAGTTCATCAATCATAGCTACACAACTGCAAATGGCTATAAATGTGATCGAATTGCTGAGAGCTCAAAATGCAATCACAGGTGAATGTGATTTGCAGCATGCAGAAGTTTAGGTGTATCGGGTTTATGTCAAACTCTGAAAGATGGAGGGTGGAATGGCACAAAGTCCCACCCCTTTCACACCTGCAAAAGGGGTGTGGCTTCTTTCATGACATTGTACTGTCTCTTGGCAGATTTCGCTATTTTTTCCTCCCAAGAAACCTCTGCTTGTGACACCTGTCAAGAACCCATTAAAATATTCCTTAAGTTTGAACAGAAACCCTTTGTAGCTGACATGACCCCAAGAAAAAGCATATTTAATGGGATATAGATAGATAGATAGATAGATAGATAGATAGATAGATAGATAGATAGATAGATAGATAGATAGATAG